ATGTGGTTTTGGTATCTTTGGTGTATTAGTAAGGTCCTGTAAGGCCTTATTTAGCCCTGTTTTTTGCTATTCCACTGTAGATTAGTATGTATTCACTTAATTTTGATTGTCCTTTTCCTTTCTTTTTTGTCCCTGTAGAGCGCAAATGTCTGTTTGATTCTCTTTCAGCACTTAGGTTATTTTTTTTCCCTTGAGTTGGGCGACCTGATATTTCATGTAGTAATTCCCATCTGGGTTTTGAATATTTTTCGCTTGTCCTTATTTCTTGCCGTAGTCATCTTCATCATATCAATCTTGTTCCGAGGCATTGTTCCTTTGAGCAATATTAGTTTTTACGATTGGTAGGTTGCTAACCTTGCCAATGACCCTCCATATTTTATACGTGTGTGTGTTTTATTGACTATGATTTGAAGTTTGAAATGGCGTATCATTTGTGAACACTCTGCATTTAGAAATTTGATTTCAATGTAAATTCCTGAAAGAACGTTACCTACCTTGACCTACTCCTTGTGTGCAAAGGTTTTCAAGACATGATGTTAGTAAACTGATGGACTATTAACTTTGAAAAGTTTATAAAAACTCAAATTTTTTGAAGTACCTATGTTAAGTACTATGAAGTACCTATTTGTATAAGTTGACCTATGGTACTTTATAAAATGTATAGAATTTTACGTAGAATCTAAAAACGCAATCATATACAGAGTGTTTCATTTAAAATACCAAAGTTGTTGTTTATTTCCGGTATAACCGGAAATGGCATACCTGTCAAAATCTTCTCTTTAATTTCGTCATAACTTGTAATACCGATAAACCAATTTTTATAAATAACGTATAATTAGTTTCCGATATATAGATAGTATAAGCTCGTCGTGAATTACCCTGTATGCAATACATTGTTATATCCGAAAGTTATGTCGATTAGAAAAAGAAGAAAGCCTGAATTATTGGGCTACCTTATAAGGAGACAAAAATTTACAATACTTCATAATATAATGCAAGAAGAAATTGAAGAACTTAGGAATTTAGGTCATAGAGAAACGTCATTGATGCAAAATATAAGGGAGTAATACAAATGAGCCCTTTAGGTCAGCGGTAACAGTAGTTTACAATCTTCTTGGGGAATTACACAACAAAAGTATCTTTCAGTATCTTCTTCAACATCCTCTGAATATATCTTGTGTGTTCCGTGTCGTTTTAACTCACATTTTTCGTAAAAATATTTTATATATTGTAAATGTTCATAAAAAACAAAAATTCGATTTTTACGTTATCCTAATTCTTTAGCGGAAATATTTAGGGCTGTTACGGTTCTACTCTTTTAAATAAAGATACAACATGCAACCTCTGACGCACCTTTACTACGAACTCACTCCTGAAAAGCTATTAATGAAAATTTCTCGTGACACACTTTGTATATTTATGAGACATGATGCATATTGTTATTAAAGCTAGGGCTAGTTAAATATAGCTTCAAGTTATGAGTGATTTCAAATATCAATTTTACGTGGTTTAGAATCATTCGTAGGCCTTGCAACTGACTTAATATATAACTTTAATTTACACAACTTAAATTATTTAGTAAATACATTTATAATATATTATAATATAATAATAATAATATAACATAATAATAGTATAATATATATAATAATTATTAAAATCATTTGGTTTCTATATTACATTGAAAAAAAATCTGGCGAATATACATAATTATTGCACACTATTATGACAAATAAATGCTCGGATTTACCAAATTACCATAAAAAGTAGATCATTTTGACATTTCGTTTTCTTCTTTATTCAGCAATAAGTCATGTGCTGCCGATATGACTCAGCAACTTTCTTACGTGGAGTTTTCCTACTTCTCTTTGCCCCATTCTTGTTTTACCGGTATATACTCACTCGTATCAATAAGAATTTCATTCACAAAGTGCACATATAGTTTCCTTCCCCATTTCGTATTTATTGTCTAGTTTACCCTACCTACGTTAAGGAGTTGTTTCTTTAGTTGGTCGTGTTGTCATCACGTCTATGACCATCTTTAGCTATCCTCTGATATGATCCATTAGGCAAAAGCCTTTTGTCAGTGTTGCCAATTACTTTCTTTGTAAGAGTTTGATCTTGTAGAGCTGTTGATTTTGTGATTGAGACCCTTTTTTACATTCACTTTTGAGTATCATTCCTTGTGTTTTACTTTTATTAACAAGTCTATTACTTCGTTCCCTTGGACTCCTTGTCCCAACACCCATATTCTGCTGCAGTACTTGGGCCATATAATGAGAAATCAAGGCATGTACGAACTACTTCAATGCATTTTTCAAGGTACAATTGAAGGAAAAAGGGCCCCAGGACGAAGAAGAATATCCTGGCTGGCTAACCTGAGACAATGTTATAGAAAGCCCTCAACACAGCTGTTTCGTATAGCAACCAACAAAGTCATCATAGCCAGAATGATCGCCAACGTTCGGAAAGGACAGGCACCCTAAGAAGAAGTAAACATTAAATATTTCGTAAGATTGTCTTAAAAGAATAGTAAAATTTCTTAAAGGTGGTATGATCTGCAGTGGATCAATCTGCAGTTGATATAATCTGAGGGGGAAGGGAAGTCATAATTAACGAGGAAATACGAATTGGAAATAGTCTTCCAAGTCTAAAAGATCTTTAGTGGACATAAATTCTTTATTTAATACGAAAAAAAAAACAAGCATTGCAATGGCGATGTAAAGCAATATTAAAATAATATTTTTTTAAATTATCGGAATATTTATTTTTCGCGATATTGAGTAATATTTTTGTTTATTTATATTTATTAACCATATCTGAAAGCAACCCGATTGCATATGGTATATTTGTATGTATTTTTCGCGATATTAAGCAATAATTTTGTTTATTTATGTTTATTAACCATAACCATAGCTGTAAGCAACCCTATTGCATATGGTTCGCCGCCTGAGTTGTATTTGAATACTTACCGCTGGTTTATCTTTATATCTGATGACAAATGACTTCTTTTCTTTCTTATTTTCTATTAATCAAATTGTCTGTTTTATCTTCATATATCTACTCATTTCGCGATTAGATCATCTCAACACTCATCACTCTTACTTCTTACATTTTGTTACTCAGTTTATCTACACCTTTTTCATGTTTAATGCCCAATTGTTAATGTCTTCGAGCTTGTATGATTTATACTTCCTCTCTCTAAGGATGTCTTCGTAGCTGTTCCAAATTGGTGTAAAATGTTCGTCTGAGAGTCTACCACTTTCGTATATCTTTTCATTTTATGCCAATTTCTTATTATTTCATCCATAATGATATTGGATGGAAGAAGTAGGGATTTTTCATTCCCGTTTACGCCCGTTCACGGTTAGTTAATTTCACTCAATTCTTTTAATTTCAAATCCTCAAATTGCCGTTCAATCTTGCCTTCCAAATCCAAATTTTGATTTAGAAGGTAAGATTGAACGTAGAAGAGATTTGAACAGAAAGAAAAATCTTGGCTTAAAACAATGGTTCCAAACATCAGTAGCTGCAAACATAATACATGCAGCACAAATCTTACAGAGGAACTTATCGTTAGATGGTCGCCAACCTTCGGTAGAAGACTGCACATAAAAAAGAAGCATCCAAATTTAATGCAAATGCAATCATATAAATCGACGTATGTCGGATTTCCAAAAAACTTTGTAAATTAAGAAATTATTATGTTAACCTGTGGCAACCAAGTTGACAGTTTTTTTTTAATTGCCGTATTGCCAGATTCCAGTAAGAGCTTAAGAAGGTATCCATTGAATTCTGACAGGCAACGGTGGGAGAAATCTTTTTGGGACATCTACGTCACAGAACAAGACACCCTGACATCGGCCGAGTAGGATACTAGGCCAGAAGACCCCAGGATAGTGTTCCGGCTAAAACCTTAACCACCGTTCCAGAGAAGTGGTATTGCCACTCAATAAACAAGTAAAATAAAAAACTAAAAATATATAAATAACCAAATTACCCTATTACCGTAAATCAGAAAATGTTTCAGACGTTAGTCCATAAACTAATAAATAAAATGAACCATAAATTTCAGATCCATGACTCAATTTCCTCCTCTGTCCTCCTGCTCCCTTTTCTTCATCGCCCCAGAAATCAGACAGTATACTTCTCTCCTCTCAACATTATGTTGACAATGTTTCTTTCATCCAGCCCGAAACCCATTCGCCTCTCGAAATCCCCCATCTCATTTGCCCATCTCTGGCAGTTAAAAATGTGTGCGGGAGCGTCCGGTACCCCACCAACTACATTCTCCTGAGGCAGATTTGCCTATTCTATTTGTAAAGGTGCCAAAACTACCATGTCCGGTCAGAAACTGCGTCAGGAAGTTTACATTCTGAATCTCAATCTCAATTCTGAACTTACATTCCCACCACGATCTCGGATCGGGAATAAGCTCCTTCGTCCATCTTGCCTTTCCACTATCATTCGCCTATTCTCTCTGACACTCTACTATCGTTCTTTCTCTCTCATTTTTATCTATATTACCATCCCTCTTCCCCGCATACATCCTCGCTCGCTCTGTACACAACAAAACGATCGGTATCGCCGGTCCAATGACATATACAGCCTCATTTGAAACTGGCCTATATGCGCTAGATACCCTGAGGAGCATTCGCCTTTCCGAAATCTTTTAAATGTTATTGTTAAAAAATATTAGAGTAACGCAGATATAAATAAATTAAAAATATTAATTTTTTTCCTAGGACCTTCTTTACTTGAGCTGTCATCGCTTTGGATGCATTTTTTTTCTTTTACTTCAGCTTCTCTTCTCTTTTTTGCTTCTTCTCTTTGCTGTTTAATATTAATAATAATAAAGTGCCCCAGTTTATTCAGTTTTTCCTTCTACAAGCAACTTTTGATAAAAGACCTGTGCTTTTTGTTTTTCTATTTCTTCCCTTTCTCTTCTTGACAGTTGAGGTTTACTATCTAAATCTATTGCGTTAAGAGTGGTGAGTTTTTTAGTCTTCTTTTTTAGTCTTCTTCTCTTCTTTTCTCTTCTTTTCATCGCTATCCTCTGACGACTCACTCCCCGAACCTGTTTCTTCACTAATTTTTTTGTCAGCAGCAGCTTCTAATTCTTTACTACTGCTTTTTCTTCTCTGGTGTCTCCATTTTTTCTGTTGATCTTCTCTTCTCCTTTCCTCTTCAGGATTAGTAAATCCACGGTTACGTCTCTTATGGTTTGTGAATTTTCCTCGCGGCATTTTCGATATTTATTAACTTAAATAATATAGACGTAAAACTGTAATTTAATGCTGTTTTGACTATTGACTACTTTAAAATGGAAATTAAACTATTTAATAACGCAAATTTTTGTCTATGTTTATGTCCATATTTTGAGTGAAATTATGAGTGTGATGAACCCTCGCATTTATTTCAAATACTGATCTTTCTGTGCGTATGTCAGCACATGCAAATGTTTTTTAGTCAAGAATTGTATATTAGTGATTTCTTGTATTAGTAAATATAGAGTTGTATAAAGCTTTTAGGTCAAAATAGTTGTTAGTGATAGACAGTTCCAAGAATGCACAAATATTCGCCATAAGTCATCTCTATTTATTATATATTCATTGCATCCTTACTTAACTTTTTATCATGATTGGAGAACACCTACCGCTTAATTCTTAATTTAGTGTCCTTCTTCTTCCTGTAGTCCCTATCCGTTTTAGATATTGGCGACCATCATGGCAATCTGCATTTTGCAAACTACTGCTCTGAAAAGATTTGTGGTAGTTGTGTTGAACCACTAACGGAGATATTTCAACCAGGAAATCCTTTGCCTTCGTGGTCCTCATTCGCCTTCTATTTTACCTTGTACAATTAATTTCAATTGCAGCAACCCATATCTTTCGCTGTTCTTATTGTCCTTAGATACGTAAATTGATAAAGTATTTATTTGTTGCCTTTTCGACTCAAGTTTAATGGTTAAAGATTCGTAAAGATATGTAGTACGATCTTAAATATAGTTTTGTTACTTTGTTTTGGCGTTTTACTTGCGCATTTATACTTGCGTATAAATGATTTCAAGTGCTATAATAATTTTACTCACAAGATACAAATACTTTTAGGTTTGCTTATTTTGCAAATAATAAACTACATTGTGTACTTTTCAAATATGCATAAACATTTTTACTTAAATATTGTAGTCATTTAATGGGTCAGTTTGGAAACTAGTTTAAATTTATTTAAACACTCAAAAACTACCATTGAAAATACCTTTAGAAATTTTCCCATATTTAATTACCTATTAATAATTTTAATATTCATGTATAACTGTTTTTCTAGTACAATGTAAAATTTTACAACTCATTTAATAAATAAATTTGAGATGTGAATGAGAATAAGAAAGAATAAGAAAGTTTATTGTATATGGATTTGAAAAATGGGCCAATGTCTAATTACTTATCTTTTGTTAATTGCTATATTTATTTTATTGGAATTTATTCTTACATTATGGAGAAAAAATTGAAAAATTTTCTCTTGCACATTATGGTCGTTGTGCCTGGACAGCTGATGTATTTTACATTTTGAAATTGTTATTGATCTCTCTTGGATCTTTCTAAAGTCAATTTTATTCCTAGACTAACCTACCGATCTTATTAGTTCTCCTTTTAATCTTTTAATCTTCCAATAGTATCCTGTTAGTTCTTCTATTTGAGTTTATTGATAAAATTGGCCTATTTAATACACAATTAAACGGTTACAATTTTTATAAAACGTTTGACTAGTAGTCGTAATTTGGGCAAAAACTAAGGTACCTATATGTTTTTCGTATTATTAGCTGTTATATGGTTGGGGAATTGGGTATATTAGTAATCATCTATCCAGTGTTGTTAGCTGTGGTTATACCAAACAATTAAATGCCAAAATGTGATGCCACGTTTGTCAGATTTTCTAACCTTATACTGAGTAAATTTGTGGGAAACAGGTTATCATTAGCGGTTATGTTTGAACCATGTTTGTACCATTGCATTGTAATACCAATAAAGTGATTTCAAATATAAGAAGCTAAAGTCAAATTTGTCGGATTGAATGCGTTAAGATCTAGTTCTTTTTTCAAAGCGAAGAATTCGCGAAAATTGAAAACTGTAGAGCCTGGAATAGGAAGTGGGGAAATAAAACCATGACATCTGGATTATGTATTCCTCAGAAATAATAACGCCTCTTTTATTCAAACTTGTGATAATTACCTGGAATTACAGACCATACAATTCACGTGACGCATTTATGACTAACTTAAAATGAAAGTTTTATAAAAAATTTGTCTACGAAAACTCAAAATAAAATCTCAAGGAATACTATTCTACTATACTTGCAGAAGATTACAATGGTCTTTATAGAAAACGGTTCAAAGTAGAACAATTTTAAATATCGATACCTTCTTTGCCAGAAGACAAAACTTCAGGAAACGCCTGACTAGCATTTGTAACCCGTTTGTTTTGTCAAACTTTGCTTACCAAATGTCCTGCACTATTCATATTGTATCCATATACAAATATTAGTGCCTTTAATATGTGGTCTTTTCAGTTTTTAGAATTTTGCATGATTTTTAAATTTTTTATAAAAAAATCTATGATTACAAACTTGACTTAAGATTACGGTAAAAGTATAAAAAAATACTATCTGGTTAGTTTTTTGTGTATTTTTTTTATTTTTTTTGGGTCGTATGTACACTATGCATTGAATCAAGATTCAACAAGTAAAATTAATAAAAAATGACGTTTATTACTTTCTAATTATACTAATTATTTAGTGTGAAAGTTGTAAAACAATTCTATCTTTGTTTAAGCAAAGATAAACTTCTCGCATTTTATGAAGCTTTATGAACCACAGGGATATTTTCATCTTTGCCTTTCACTACACTACAGGGATATCCATATGTTCGTACATCTTATTTTGGAATATCGGTTGCTGGACCCTGTCCTTTCTGGTTTTGTAAATTTTCTATAGCTCCATACGGACGACCACTTTTTGTGGTAAAACCAGCTTCATTAACTTTGCATAAACACTCTGCTACTGCCATTTTGAAATCTGCCAGAGCTAAAATATTATGCTCATTGTCACTTCTTCTCCAAAGAATCCACGTATTGACAGTCATCAAATTAATAATATGGAAAAATATACGCATGTCCCATTTTTTGGATCTGAGTTTGATCCTATAATACCCCAATATTGAATCCAGGAGATCTACTCCCCCCATATACTTGTTGTAGATCGTTACAGCTTTTGGATATAGAACCATTCTGTGTGTCTTACTCTTTTTCGAAAACTTTTAACTTCAACTGTTAGTATACTCCCAGCATATGTTGATAAAATGTTTACTAATTTGTTGTCATACCATGTAACAACAGATATTTTTGTACCACCAATTGTGGCGACTTTCTCCACAATAGCTCATCGGCCGTTGTTTTTTAATTCAGCTTGATTTGGCATATTACTGTTTGGCACTCTGTTTATTTTAACTGTTCCTAGTAGTAACATACCCTGTTTCGTTAGATAAATTAGATAAATGTGCAATAGGACGCTGTTAAACCAATTATCAAAGAATATATTGTTATTTATAAGTCTTGGTACTGTTTGATTTAGCCGAACAACTACATTTGAACTTACCCCTAAATCAGGAAAACCATTGAGTGCATTAGTTTGGCTTACTATATAAATTTCATATTCGTAGGAAAATCCGTTGACACCACTAAGAACAAATGCATTATATTCCCATTTGTGGGGTTTTTGCGGATTATATTGTTTTATAGATGAACTTTGTTGAAGTTATCTGCTCATCTATTGCTAAAAAATCCTCTTTCTGAACTTTGATTCACTGATTCCTTAGTTTGTTTAGTAGCGGTCGGATTTTAAAGTTTATTGTGACCAGGATTACCGGCAGCAATAGCATCGTTATATAGCACTGAATATATAATATAGTTTGATAAACTATATCTTTGAGCATCTTATTTGTTAGAAAAAGTTTTTAAAAATGTGTAAGGGGAATCCGCTCGTTGTAACTCAGGTTCAGGTGAGTACTGAGAAATTTTATATTATTACCTGATGTTACCAAATTTCCTTCTTTCCAATTTGGATGATTTTATTTCTATTCGTTATTAGATTAAGTCGTAATTCGTCCAAAGAAATATCATCTTCGCTATCCGAACGGCTTTCTAAATCCGTTTCTGGACCCAGTCTAAAATATCCAATATAATCATCAAATTTATTGAAAGATACTCCTTTCATTTTAAAAAATATAGCTCCTTACCTTTAAATTTGCCGGTGTGTATTTTCCAATGAGATAACATTTTTTTAAAATGTAAATGTTTCGTCACAACATTGTTGCTGTTGATCCGAGGAAAATTCCAATTTCAAATATAGACTCACAGCCAATATTTGATGAAAACAAACATGCCGTATGTTGTTTTCAAAAACAAATTAATTGGATTGTAGTTTTCACCAATTTATGACTGCCGGTCATTATTTATAATTTTTTTAAAATTATACTAATGCCTTACCTAAAAACTTTAAGAACGTCAATGTACCTATTTGATTCTCATAAAGCGACACCTCATGTCCCAGCAAATTAAATGTAAGGTGCGAGTTTTACAAAAGTTTATGAATCCAAGTAAGAAGTTCCCCTCTGTGGCTCAGTGGTAAGAGCGCCTGCCTTTAAACCTAAAGGTCGTGAGTTCGAATCCCACCTGGGTGGAAATTTTCGTTTATTAAAAAAAATTAATAAATGAAAATAATTTCTATCCTTGTGTGATCGGTACACACCGGAGGGACCGCAGATGACAATGACGTCGACTTTGCTAAGTATCAAGACAATTACTCTACACACACAAACACACACACACTACATTAATAAACTTATCTTGATTGAGACTGGCTGAATGACAATTGTCCAAGCCAAAACACACACAAAAAAAAAGTAAGAAGTTAAATATTGATAAAACATTTTTAGAGTTAATTTCTCGGGATTATTTGTTTTGATCTGTTTAAACAAAAAAGTTTGCCATCAAAAACCCTTATAAGATGTTAATAATTTGAAGATATTAATTTCAGAAGTATGCCGGGAAATTTATGCAGGTGTGGTTAATAATCTGCCGATAGATTCAGAAATATGCCGATAAACTGGGTAAATCTATTTAAACACCGGGTGCATGTGTCAAGGGATTAGCGAAATCAGTGAACGTAAAGTTTGTATTTTATTTTTTGT